GACTCGCATACCTTCAATGACTGGAAGTTAAAAGGGTCCAAAACTCCATCCCTTTGAAGTTTTGCAATGCGGGTCTAATTAACATGACCTAATCTATAATGCCAGAGGTATGTATGGTTTTGTTCGCTATGTTTAGCTTTCTTAGTTTTAACGTTGAGAATATCCTTATTGTTCAAATCAAGAACATATAATCCATTATATAACCTTGCAATTCCAAATAGAATACCATTCAAACTAAAGGACAACAATCCATTAGAAATCTCAAAACGATATCCTATATTATCCAAAGCGGATACTGAAATAATGTTTCTAGAAATCGCAGGTACAAAATAACAGTCTTTGAGTTCTAATAATAAGCCCGAAGGCAAAGACAAACAATAAGTCCCTACAGCTAATGCAGCCACATGTGCTCCATTTCCAACTCGTAGGTCCACTTCCCCCCCTGGTGAGTGATGAGAGTGCAAAATGTCATATTTACCCCCCTTAATATCTAGTATTATATACTTATTTGTTGCATAAATGTACCCATTAGTATTCTATTTTGATTTAGGATGCAAATGGAGGCGTTAAATGCAAAACGGAACTAATTAGGTGAATTTGGACAGTTTTGACATCACTTCGTAATCTGGACATAAGTCTCTCATCTGAACTCCGATTGAGATGATTCAAAATGCTGTGGAACCCTAAGAAAGATATCTACAACTTTTAGGTTTTGAGTTTGGAGAGATAATCGCTGCATCAAGGTTATAATCGGGCTTGAAGTTGAAACACCTGCACTGCTGACGTTCTGGAACATTCCGCCTTGTCATGCAATTCAAATAGGCAGTTTATTATTGGAAGTTTTGAAGACCTGTTGCACGCAAGTTACAGCTGGACACAGCACTTTCCTATTTTATTTTAGGACTTTATTTTATTTTCAATTAATCATAATCAGATTAGGATAAATGTTGTTTTAGGATATTAGCATATTTTGAGGAGATTTAGTAGAATTCAAATACTTGAATTGGATATCTTTAAGAGGAGAGAGAGATCAGATTGGAAGAGATCACACACGCCTCTCTTTCTTCTCTTCTGCAATTTTTCTTTTGAGTTTTTGATAGCCATGAGCGGCTAAAACTTTCATAACTTGGTCGAAGGAAACGGAGACCTTGGAATCAATAAAATTGTGAGATCTATCTGGTTTTAGTGTTCAATTTATGCTTTGAGTATTGGATGTTCTTCTATGCTTATTTTCATGATTGTTTCATTTAATTTCTAGGATGCCTACTAGTTTATTACTTGTTGCAATCTACTGCTAAGTTAGATATCAAATCCGTAATTGTTTGATCCCTTTAGCTTGTGAAGTAATTAAGGTTTAAGAGTTTGCTGCGTCAGGAATTATTAAATCTTAAGAAGGACATTCAACTAAATTAAATACAGCCACTTGTGTTTGTGTTGTTAAGCTTCACCGATCTCTCTAGTTCTTAAGGCTGCCACTAGATTTAACCTTTAGCGCTTGTCTAGGGTTGTTTAGTAGTAAGATTAATTGGATCGCGTGTTTCCTAATTAACTACAACTAAGGAGAGATAGGAAAATAGTTCGAAGGGTGATTACTCAAAATATGAATTGATATATACTTGCATCGATGATCAGTTGTAAAATTCCGATGGTGGATGTTGACTTAGACCAAGGTTTGTTTTGATTGATAATTAACTTGGAATTGTCTCATAGTTGTTTTTCCTGAAATTGTTTCTGTTTTACTCAAATCCCCCCCATCCTGGTTCACATAACATAAAACTCGGCTAGACACTCTCCGTGGGAACGATCCCTACTCACACTATTACGCGTATTTTTAGGGTTTTGATTATGGGTGCCTACGACAGCACACCAGTGAGTAATCTACTCTGCCTTAATCCTTACACATTGTACAAATGTGAGTACCACATCCTGTGTCAATGACCCAAGATGTTGAAGGAGAGAAATTAATCAATATCATAAACATACCTGAAGTCGAAGCATCTGACTTCTTCTTGCTTGTGAGGAAAGCCTTGCAGTGCTTCCTCCAGTTGCCAGGCATGCCACAATAGAAGTAGACTACCTTCCCACCTTTCCCAACGCCACCCGCAGGCTTGAGAGCATCCTGTCCTTTAGGCTTGGGCTTGGGATTGGCCTTGGCCTTTCCCTTGCCCTTACCCTTTCCTTTACTGGCAGCTACCAGTAAAACAGGCTTGGACTTTTTCAAGTCCTGCTCTGCAATCCTTAGCATGTTCAAAACCTCTGACAAGGTTTTCACCATAGTGTTCATATTGAAGTTCATTATGAACGGTGCATAAGAGTCAGGCAAGGATTGCAGAATTAAATCCACTTGTAATTCTGCATCCAACTCAAACCCCAAAGTCTCAAGCCTCTCCATGTGCTCGATCATTTTGAGCACATGAGGGCCAACTTGGGCTCCCTCGGTCAGGCGACTTCCTAACACTGCTTTTGACACCTTGTACCTCTCATGTCGAGCATTCCCTTTGTAAAGCTCCCTGAGGTGTAGAATAATGGCAGTAGCATCGATATTCTCACGCTGCTTTTACAGCACTGGTGTCATCGATGCTAACATCAAGCATTGAATGCCATCAACATCATCAAGGAACTTTTGATAAGCATCATTTACTTCCTGAGTGGCATCAGGATCAGGCTCAGCCATGTATGGTTTACCAAGGATATACAATTTCTTTTTGGACTTAAGTATAATCCGAAGATTACGATACCAGTCCAAGAAATTGGATCCATCCAACCCGTTTTCTTTCTCGATTATCGGTCGCAGGTTCATAATGCTCATTTTTAAGTGAATCTACAATTCAGAAAAGTAAAGTCAATATAATGTTTATTGTTTCTTAATATGGTATTTTATTAAAAAAACACTCTCACTATTTTCCTTAAGCCAATAGTCCTCACTATTAACTCGGGAAAGCCCGTTGGCTTTCCTAGTGGACTGAGATCTCATCTGGCCCATTTCAGACCTTCGTTGTGGTGAACAAGCCAAAATGGGTTGATTAGGTAGGCCAACAAACATAATCCACACCAGTTGATAGCTCCCACTACCAACCTCAAATGTGAAGTAAGCCAACAAGCCAATCACACAATCCAATGGCCTAGCCATCATCATCACGTGTGATTCCTAGTATCAGTAGAGTGGATACTACATGTCGCCACGTACACTCAACATGTGTACTTCTCTACTACGCCTATGATGTGTTTATCAACCTTCGCTGTGGCGAACAAGCAAAACTGTCATTTTAAGTCGACCCATCATGATTAAGGAAAACTCCAATGAATTTTAACCTCCCACTGGTAGAAGTGTACCCTTCGCTGTGGCGAACAAGGATCTGACAAACAGTGGTTTAAACCATGGTGATAGAAGCCATACGTGACTTAATATATCTTATTTGAGGGTTTTTATTTAATGTCTCACCAGATTATTATCGTTGTTAGAATGACATTGTTTGGCATGTTATTGAACATTCAACCTTAGCATTTATTCTAAACAAAAATTAAACGTGCCGGTACATGGCCCACTAAAACCGATTTCCTCGAGCCTAGAAGAATCGGTAGGTCAACCTAGGGTTTAAAAGTTAATCTTGGGTCTTCAAGTCATTCCTCTTCATAGCTCCTTTGTTTCTTCTTAACGATCATTACAAATAATTTTATAATAAAAAACATATTCTAATTTACATCAATAAAATAGAAATCTCGCGTTACATACGATGGGAGTGAGATGAGGAGAAGAAATACATGGAGATTTAAGAGAGAGAGAGAGGCAGGACACGCATGTCCTTTTTGTTTATAAAAATTACAAACAAACCCAATAAACAATAAACAATAGGTCTAAGGCTCATGTACCGGGCACCATGCAATTATCAAATAAGAACATTACATACATTCAAAAACAATCAATTTTTGAATTGGGTGGGTTGAATTATCAAGTTACCACCTTAAACGTGAAGAATGAATATTGGCTTTAAATGTTCAAAAACTGTAATTTAGCCCCTGTGCGAAAAACGGAAAGCAAAAACGAAACAGTAGGTTCTTGCCGCGGCGAAGAAATTCTTCACCCGGCGAAGTTCATACACACATGGTAGCTGCGGTGAAGTTTTATTTCGCCGCAGCTAGATCTACTTTTCCGGAATTTCGCCGTGACCAGATTCACCTTTTGTATCTCGCCATGGCGAAGTGTTATTTTGCCATGGCTAATGCCGCAAAATAGTGAATCATGCACAGTAACGTCTGTTGCAATTTTTTCACATAATGACACGGATCCAAATCAAATCGAATGCTTAAATATTCGACCAAGACACCAACCAACCAATACACATTCAATCAACGCATTATTTAATCAATTGATTAATTAAGACATTCAACATACAAAAATTTTCCAGATTTAAAAAACACTTCAAATCATGCAATAACATGTTATCAAACATCAATTAAACAATATAATCTAATAACCGAGGCTCTGATACCACTGTAAGTAATTGATCTACTTTTTTTTTTGTAAAACAAAAATTCAATCGGTAAATCAATTACCTTTCTTTGCCTAGATCCGAGTATAAATTATACTGTTTACATGTTTATAAACAAAAATCTGTATAAAGTAAATCCATTCAAGGATTAGAATACTTACGTACGTTTGGAGGCTCCTTCGAATATCTCTGATTTCGGACAAGAACAATGTTCACTGTATGTGCTCATAGGGTTCTCACTATCAAGATTTGAAACACTTAATACCCTCGTCATGGTTCTACCATTCTAAGGTCATATATCAATACATATAGATATGATTTACACGATATAGAATAAATTACCTTTTATTGATCAATGATCAATGAACATTATTACAAAAAGTCAATTCTACAATAATTGATTGGCTCTAGGGAACCTACTCTAACAATAAGTTCCTTGACGAAGCTGATACTGTTCAATACCTTACGTTAGCATTGATAACACCTGAGCTGTAAAAGCAGCATGAGAATATGGACGTTGCTGCCATAATTTCGTGCCTCAAGGAACTTTTTGAAGGAAATGCTCGACATGAGAGGTATAAGGTGTCGAGTGCATTGTTTAGAAGTCGTATGACTGAGGGAGCCCAAGTTGGTCCTCATGTGCTCAAGATGATTGGGTACATAGAAATGGGTTTGGTGTGGATGAAGACTTACAAGTGGATTTAATTCTGCAGTCACTACCTGATTCTTTTTCACCGTTGATAATGAACTTTAATATGAACACGATGGTGAAATCCCTGTTAAAGCTTCTGAACATGTTGAGGATTGCAAAGCAGGACATGAAAAAGTGCAAGCGTGTTTTACTGGCTATTGCCAGTAAAGGAAAAGGTAAAGGCAAGGGAAAGGCCAATCCCAAGCCTAAGCCCAAAGGACAGGATGCTTTCAAGCCTGAGGGTGGTGTTAGGAAAGGTGGGAAGGTAGTCTGCTTCTATTGTGGCAAGTCTGGCCACTGGAGGAAACACTGCAAGGTTGTCCTCGCAAACAAGAAGAAGTCAGATGCTTCGACTTTAGGTATGTACATGATTGAGATTAACTTCTCTCCTTCAACATCTTGGGTCATTGACACATGGTGTGGTATTCACATTTGTATTGTTGTGCAGGGACTAAGGCAGAGTAGATTGCTCACAAAGGGAGAAGTGGACCTACGAGTTGGAAATGGAGCATATGTGGCTACATTAGCTGTAGGGTCTTATTGTTTGCATTTGCCTATGGGCTTAATATTTGAACTCAAAGATTGTTATTTTGTACTTGTGATTTCTAGAAACATTATTTCAATATCCGTTTTGGATAATATAGGATATCTTTTTGAGATTTCTGATGGATTGTTGTCCTTAGTTTGAATGGTATTCTATTTGGAATTGTAAGGTTATATAACGGATTATATGTTCTTGATTTAAACAATAAGGATATTCTCAATGTTGAAACTAAGAGAGCTAAACATAGCGATAAAAACCAAACATACCTCTGGCATTGTAGATTAGGTCATGTTAATCAGACCCGCATAACAAAACTTCAAAGGAATGGAGTTTTCGACCCTTTTGATTTTCAGTCATTTGAGGTATGCGAGTCATGCCTTTTAAGCAAGATGACCTAGTTGCCTTTCACAGGACAAAGTGAAAGGGCTACTGAACTGTTAGGCATCATCCATAGTGATGTATGCAGTCCACTAACAGTTGAAGCCAGAGGTGGATATTCTTACTTCATCACATTTATTAATGATTTTAGTAGATATGGTTATGTCTACCTTATGAGACATAAATCTGAAAGCCTTTGATAAATTCAAAGAATTCAGAAATGAAGTACATAATATGTTAGGCAAACGTATTAAGGCGCTTCCGTATCATTCTGGGTTTTCTGAATACTTGAAAAAGTGTGAGATAGTATCACAACTCACCCTTTCGTATACACCCCGGCACAATAGAGTGTCTGAGAGGAGGAACAGGAACTTGCATGACATCGTTAGGTCCATGATGAGTTTTAGTGATCAACCTGCATCATTCTGGGGTTATGCCCTAAAGACTGCGACTTATGTACTGAATCGTGTGCCGTCAAAGTCTGTAGATAAGACTCCATATGAACTATAAAGTGGGCAAAAGCCCAACTTGTCTTATCTAAGGATTTGGGATTGTAAAGCTTATGTTAAGAAGTTAACTTCGAACAAGCTAAGCCCAAAATCTGACAAATGTATCTTTGTGGGGTATCCTAAGGAGACCAAAGGGTACTATTTCTACAACCCAGAAAAGTAAAAATTTTTGTCGCTCATACTGGTGTCTTCTTAGGGAAGAAATTTCTTTTAAGAGGTACTAGTGGGAGAAAAGTAGAACTCGATGAAGTTTTAGAACCACAAAATACATTAGACTAAGGACAGGAAGATGTGCCACAAGAGGTGGTTGAACATCGTGAGGAGGTTACTCCACAATCTGTGGATCAAAGTGAACCACCTCAAGTAGCACAAGAGCTGCGTAGGTTTGGGAGAGTAAGTCATGAGCTCGAGAGATATGGTTTTCTCGTGACTCAACATGATGACGTACTAGTCTACCAAGACAATGAACCCAGAACCTACGAAGACGGTATATCAGATCCAGATTTTGTTAAATGGCTTGAAGCCATGAAATCTGAAATGGACTCCATGTGCCAGAACCAAGTATGGTCTCTAGTGGATCCACGTGAAGGGGTAAAACCCATAGGGTGTAAATGGTTCTTCAAGAAGAAGACTGACATAGATGTCAAGGTGCATACTTACAAGGCATGATTGGTTGCCAAAGGTTTCAAACAAATTCATGGTATTGACTATGCAGAAACCTTTTCGCCGGTTGCCATGATTAAGTCCATTTGGATTATGCTTGCGATTGTTGCATATCATGACTATGAAATTTAGCAAATGGATGTCAAAATACCTTTCCTGAACGGGAACCTTGAAGAGGATGTGTATATGACACAACTCGATGGTTTCATTCTTGATGGACAAGCTGATAAGGTAAGCAAGTTGAAGAGGTCCATTTATGGACTCAAGCAAGCTTCAAGGAGCTGGAACATTTGTTTTGATAGAGTCGTAAAAGAATTTGGTTTTATCAAGAACGAAGATGAGCCTTGTGTTTACAAAAAGGTAAGTGGGAATGTAGTGGCATTTCTAGTATTGTATGTCGACGACATACTTCTGATCAGGAATGATATACCAAACTTGCAGTCGGTAAAGACTTGGTTATATGTGCTTGTCCATGAAGGACTTAGGAGAAACAGCCTACATCCTCAGAATAAAGATCTACCATGATAGATCACGTAGGTTGCTTGGCCTAAGTCAGAGTACATATATAGACAAGGTATTGAAGAGATTCAGTATGAAAGAATCCAAGAAGGGATTTCTTCCGATGTCACATGGAGTCTGTCTCTTTAAGGATATGTGGCCTAAAACACACGATGAGAGAGATAAAATGAAGAGGATCCCATATGCGTCAGCATGACGCAAATGGATCCATCATGTATTCCATGTTATGTACTCGGGTTGATATCTCATGTGCATTAAGCACTTGTAGTAGATATCAATCGGATATGGGCGAGCGTCACTGGATAGCTGTCAAGAACATCCTTAAGTACCTGAAAAGGACCAAGGATATGTTCTTGGTTTATGGAGGGAATGATGAGCTCACTATAAGAGGATACAATGATGCTAGTTTCCAAACAGACAAAGATGATTATCGCTCGCAATCCGGGTTCATATTTTGTCTCAATGGGGGTGCAGTGAGTTGGAAGAGCTCCAAGCAAAGCACCATAGCGGATTCTACAACGGAAGCCAAGTATATAGCATTATCCGATGTGGCCAAGGAGGCAGTTTGGATCAAGAAGTTCATCACTGAACTTGGTGTGGTCTCCACTATTGTTGACCCAATGGAAGGCTGTTGTGACAACAATGGAGCAATAGCTCAAGTGAAGGAGCCACAGTCTCACCAACGGTCCAAACACATACTCAGGCATTTTCATCTCATCAGAGAAATGGTTGAGAGAAAAGACGTGTGTAACACCCACACGGAGGTATGTAATTTAATTTATGTTTTTATAGCCCTTAGTTAGTTTTTGCTAAAGTTATTTTGAGAAAATGCCATAAACTTGCATTAAGGGTAAAATGGTCTTTTCACTCAAAATTAGTTGAAAAAGTGGGGAGTGAAAAGAGAGAGAATTTCATGTAAAATGCAATAACAATAAGGGCATTATGGTAATTGACTAAGGGACATAGATGGAATTTCAAAGAAAGTGTAAGGGCAAAATGGGAAAGTATGTTTATAAAATAAGATATTAAGGGTTTGTAACCCTTATTTCTCTCCTTCCACCGTCACTCTCCTTCCCCATTTTCTCTCAAATTTTCACTCAATTTTCCAAGGATTTTGAGGGCTTTTGAGTGGATTTTAATAAAGTTTTGATCCTGGGCAACAAGGGGTAAGAATTCTTGCTCTATATATAAGATTTATTTGTGTAGAAATTGAATTCTTATTAAATTTATGCCTTAGGGTTAAGAGAAGGTTTGAATCCAACAAGAGTAGAGAGCTTTAGTGGAGACTACTCAAGTACAAGGTAAGTAAATTCCACTCAAACTCCAACTCAAGTTAAGGTTTAAGAAATCAATTGAGTAGAGATTTCTTTAAGCATGTATATGTTATGATTGTTGAGAAATTGAGATGAGATTGATGATTATTTGTGCTTGTAGTCGGATATATTGAGTATGAGAAATGTTTTTGATTGTATGATGATGGATTGAAGTTCGGTTGGAATTGGAAGCATTTTGGGAGTGTTTTGCCGTGTAGGGATTATGAGGATACATGGGAGTTTTGCTCTCATTTGGATGGTTTAAGAAACAAAGAGAATTATAATTAAAGTAAAGTTTGTATATGCACATTTATTGTTTGATGAAATGCCTAAGAGAAGTGTGAGTATGAGTAGAAACTTTAATTTTATGCAACATTGCATATTTGCATTTCATGAGTGCATTTAAGTAAGAATTCTAAGCATGAGCCATCCATATGCATATATTTGTATTTGTGTAATAACTTAAGAAAGAATAAAGAATTTTAAGAATAAAACACTTTAAGAATAAAGAGAAAGAAAGAATAAGCACTAAGGAATTAAAGAAAGAAAAGCATTGAAGAAGAGAAAAGAATAGGTTGTGCGATGGGGAACCGTGAGTGCTAAGAAGAAATTCCCACATACACGCCACCTTAATTGAGTGGCATAAGAAGAAGAAGAATTGTACGGCCCGTAAGAGTGTATGTGGATGAGGGTTGTACCAAGAAGAATTCCTACATGCATGCCACCTTAATTGAGTGGCCTAAGGAGAAAGAAAGAATTTGTATGGTCCGCAAGAGTGTATGTAGATGAGGACTGTACTCACTCACATGGCCAAGGTTCCAAATCCATGCATCAACCGAGACCGATCGGCAAAGAATAAGAAAAGAAAGAATAGGAAAGAATAAGAACAAGAAAAGGAAGAATAAGAAAGAATGAGAAAGCTTGAGCAAGCAAGACAAGAAAGAAAAGAAAAGAATAGAAAGAAAAGAAAAGAAAAGAAATAGAATAAGAAATAGAGAGAAGAAAGAAAATGCATTTTTATGCATTATTGCACATGCATTTCATTCATGCATATTACCATGTATTCCATCATCGTTAGAAAGAATAGAAAGAACAGCGAGAATTAGGAAGAAAGAAAGAACAGAGAGAAGGGAAGAACAGCGAGAATTAGGAAGAAAGAAAGAACAGTAAGAATTAGAAACGGAGAAAGAAAAGAGAAAGAGCTAAAAATGAAAGAAAGAAGAAAAGAATTAAGTAAGGAAAGAATCAAA